TGCCACGCAGGAGGTGGTCACCCAGCCTTTGAGACAAACTGATGCCACCCTAAACAAAGGGTCAGGATCTGCTAATGTCACTCTGCTCCTTTTTGTAATTCTGGGAGATCGCCTGGAAAGAGATGTTAATTCAGTCTACGTGACAGAGCAGGCATAGATAGGAAGACGTGACAGAGCGGGCATAAAAAGGTGTGGACATGACCACAGTCATTCTCCTGACTACCTGGGAATCAGAATGCTAATGAATTTCCCCCTCAGTTTATGTTTTCATATAAAAGCTGTTTGGAGAATAAACATGGGTGAATTTTCAGAATGTGAACTCAGGATTTCATGAGGGATTTCTGAGAAACTTCCTCCCAATAAAGTCATATGAGTTTTGTCTTTATTCTTCCCACGCCTCCCATCTGGTCTGAGAAGTAATTTATGGTCTGGGCTGGTCCCAGACCCTGACATAATGGTGCCCAGATGTGGGACTGATTGATGAATCCCAAAAAACATGGAAGAAGTGACCAGACGTCCGGAGGAGAACGTGAGAAAAAACTGCACCACAGGTGGATACGTGAGTAATGAGCTCTCAGAAATAGTGAATAGAATTTAAAGAAGTATCGAGAAGACACCAGAGAGCCTGTAAATGTATCAGCCACTGACCTCTGATGGGACTTTTAAACTTAAAAAAGCGTGGCCTGCACCGCCCGGTCCTTAGTACCCAGAAAGACAAAGCCAAGCAGTGGACTGAGGGAGCATGTGTCCAGCCCTCCACTGCATGGCCCTGCTTCACCTAGGAGTGGACAGGCAAGTTTGCAAAAAAAAAGTAGCCTCAGGGAACTGCAGTTTCGGGCCAGTTAAAGGTCTGTAAAAAATAAACAAGCAGGTTAAATATGCTTCTTTTTTACATTTCACAATTTTGCCTCTTTGTCAAAAATCTGTAGTTTGTAGGCGTGGGTGATATCAGTACCTTTGGCCTTCATATCTGTTTTTACGCCAATATCACGCTGTTTTAAGTGCTGTGGCTCTGTAGTGAAGTTTACAGTCAGAGATTGTGATGCATTCAGAAGTTCCTTGATTGTACAGGATTTTAGGATTGTTCAGGCTATCCTGAGTTTTGTTTTCCTAATGAAGTTGAGGATTGTTCTTTCGAGGTCTGTAAAGAATTTTGCTATAATTTTAATTTGCTTTGAATCTGCAGAATGCTTTTGAGTAGCTATTCATAAAGGGTGATGTTTCTCTGATTTCTATCTCAACTCATTTATCATATGCATAGAAGAGATGCATTTAGGCTGTTTTCAGATTCTGGCTATGACAAAAGAATTCTGCTATGAACATAGTTGAGCACATGTCCTTATGGTATGGTTGAGCATCTTTTGTGTATTGTTGAGTTGTAAGGTATATGATTGCCTAATTTTCTGAGAAATTGCCACACTAGAATCCAAAGCGGCTGTGCCCATTTGCCCTCCCACCAGCATTGGAGGAGTTTTTTCTTTACTCCACATTCTCTTCAGTAAAAATTATCGGCATATTTTTAATCTTGGTCATTTTTACAAGGAGAAGATGGAATCTCAGAGTTGTTTAGATTTGCATTTCTCTAATGGCCAAGGATGTTGAGTAATTTTTAGGTGTCTTTCAGTCATTTTAAGTTCAACTGTTGAGAGTTTTCAGTTTAGGTCCGTACCATATCCCATTCTATAGGCTGATATTATGTCTTGTTAACTTTGTCCGATGCTTAGAAGCCTCTCTGTTTTAGGAAATCTCATTTATTAATTGTTTCTCTCAATGTCTGTGCTACTGAGACTGTAATTGAGATGTGCCAATGCATTCAAGTGTACTTCTAACCTTTTCTTCTGTGAGGTTCAATGTGGTTGGTTTTATGTTGAGGTCTTTGATTCATTTGGATTTCAGTTTTGTGCACAGAGATAAATATGGATCTGTTTTCATTCTCCTACATGTTGATGTCTAATTAGGCCAGCATCATTAGTTGAATATGCTCTCTTTTTCCATTTTCCTATCAGTTAGGGAGACTTGCAACTTAAGAGAAGGATAGTTTACAAACTTCTAATTAGCTATACAATGGCTAAAGCCTTAATTATAATATTCTTATTGGGAGATTTTGAGACACTAAGTAAAGTTCTTAAAGGGAGCAATGAGCCAATTTCCAGTAGAGAGCTTATAGAAGCTGCCAGACAGGTACTCAAGCAGGTGGATTATAGATCAGCAGGTATACAATAATCAGCAAGTACAGTATATTAATTTTGATTAAGCCTTAGCAAGAATGTATATTAAACACAAAACTTATCTTACAGCAGTTTTATAGAAAAACAGAACGCTTTTTATGACTACACCTTCCTGTTTTGCCAGTTAAGATATTAAACTCTTAATTTAAAGCAGTAGCTTGTCTAATACAGAGGAGCAGGATGGAATCCAGGAGATGTTTTAAGAGAGTACTGACTATGACCAGTGTTTCTTTTACTAAGCAATAGATTAATTAATAATTTTAAGATAGTGATTCTTAGACAATTGTGCTTGTTCAATTTAAAGGCCAGAGTAATAATCTTTTCCCAGATGATTGTTGCTGCTATTCGCACAACTATATTTTGCTAATGTTATGCTAAAGATCCCTTAAAGGATGTTATACTAAATTTTTACAAAAGGCTTTTCCAATGGAAGAACCGCATATGTGGTTAAAAATGAAAAGGCATCGTGGAGCATGATGTGGCTCATTGAGAACAAGTTAAAAGGATAAAAGTTGCAGACGTGCTACAGACAGATCTGGCATGGTGGTGACACCAAGGTGACCTTTACTAAGGCTAGGTGAAAAAGCCCTTGCAATAAATTATAAAAAGACCCGGCCTATATTAATTTGGGGTCAAGGATGTGTTTGTGCTTTTTTTCACGATAGAAAATAGAGCTGGATGAGATGACTGCACAGACAGTGAAGGAGTGACAGACCCGATGACATCGTAGCTGCAAACGCCCCCATAGAGGAGTAGGAGAGGAGCCTGTGGTCCAGTCTTCCCCACCCCCACAGAGAGGAGTGCCTGGTCTGGGGACCTGGGGCCACCACTCTGTGCTGCAGGGAGCCATGCTGCTCTGAGGGACACAGACTCAGAGATCCTGCTGCATAATGACTACAATTTTCTTTCTTTTCTTTTTAAAAAATATTTATTTATTTATTGTGTATACAATATTCTGTCTGCATGTATACCTGCAGGCCAGAAGAGGGCACCAGACCTCATTACAGATGGTTGTGAGCCACCATGTGGTTGCTGGGAATTGAACTTGGGACCTTTGGAATTAACCGTTGAGCCATCTCTCCAGCCCATGACTACAATTTTCTGCAGTCTGAATCCTTTTTGCTTTGGATCTGAAATGCAGACTGAATACATGACTGTTTTAGTCTCTGGGACACAGAACTCATTTTCATTAAAATATTGGACCTGAGAACTAAGACCTAAGCTTTCCTTTTAGGGAAAGAAAGACTCAAAATAAGGAATGGCTGAAGCCCCCCTTCACTTAAGAGGGGGGCAGCCTGAGGGTTTAACTGCGACTCAGAGCCTGGAACTGGTATTTGATAACAGCAACATCATTATACTCTCACCCGTCCGAAAAGCTTTCCCTGTCTTTTGATTAATATGGATTTAAGGAAATTGTGATATGTTAAATTAATGGATTTATTGTTAATTCCCATTATAGAATTATGGTAGTGACCTGATAATGTTTCTAACTTCTTATAAGATGTTGAGGAAAGTCTGATGGGCCCTATACATGTTTGGATTTAATTGTGGATTTATTATTAATTATGGTATTTACCTGATAATGTTTGTAACTGCTTACAAGATGTTGAGAAAGGTTTGATACACTCTGTAAATGTTTGAGTTTAATGAATATGTTAACAATTTTAGATTTTGATACAATTTAAAATTTAAGAGGTGCTCTAGACCAGCTGAAGAAACATTTTCAACTCAGGTGATCCTCCTCTTCTTTAAATAGGTGACTATAGTCTTTAGGAGTATGATTATTCATAAAACATTATGATTTCTCCTGACAAGAAAGGATGGCTCCAAGACACAGAGCCCAAAAGTATCTTTCTCCCTTAATCTCTTTTCTTTGCAGAGGTTAGGAGTCAGTGACAGGTTTGAAGTTTCTCCTCCCCAGGTGCCTAAGACAGTAGCTCTCATAAAGATGCCTGGTTTCCGAAGACAGGTAAATTTGGGTAAATGGAGAAGTCTGCCTAAGACGGATGTAATCATCTGTCCTGTTGCAGAAGCACAGGTTTTATTAAAATTAATAAGAGAGTGGATTGTAGGGCCATATTATACAGGCCCATGTTTCTTTTTTAAATTTATTATGTATACAACATTCCTTCCCTGTGTGCCTGCAGGCCGGAAGAGGGCACCAGATCTCATTATAGATGGTTGTGAGCCACAATGTGGTTGCTGAGAATTGAACTCAGGACCTCTGGAAGAGCAGCCAGTGCTCTTAACCACTGAGCTGTCTCTCCAGCCCCCGCCCCCAAATTTTTACATGTATGGTGGTCAGAATTTCAGGCCACGGTTTGCACCTGCCACGCAGGAGGTGGTCACCTAGCCTTTGAGACAAACTGATGCCACCCTAAATAAAGGGTCAGGATATGCTAATGTCATTCTGCTCCTTTTTGTAATTCTGGGAGATCGCCTAGAAAGAGATGTTAATTCAGTCTATGAGACAGAGCAGGCATAGATAGGAAGACGTGACAGAGCGGGCATAAAAAGATGTGGACGTGACCACAGTCATTCTCCTGACTACCTGGGAATCAGAATGCTAATGAATTTCCCCTTAGTATAAAAACTGCTTGGAGAATAAACACAGGTGAATTTTCAGGATGTTAACTCAGGATTTCATGAGGGATCTCTGAGAAACTCCTTCCCGATAGAGCGATGTGAGTTGTGTCTTTATTCTTCCCACGCCTCCCCTCTGGTCTGAGAAATAATTTATGGTCCAGGCTGGTCCCAGACCCTGACACTTACCCGCTGCTTATCTGGGTCCACAAAACGAATCCCAAAGTAGTCTTTCTCAAGTAGGTTCAGGTGGTGGCAAAGGAGGTCAAACAGGTACTGGCCTTTGGCATCTCTCTGCAAAGAAAGCAAGCTCCATTGAGAAATGTACACTCTTCAGGGTGACTTTGTGTGTGTGTGTGTGTGTGTGTGTGTGTGTGGCATAAGAGGTATGTGCATGTGTGTGCACACATATACATTTGTGTGCAACTCTTTAGAGTGAACTGTGTGTGTACGTGTGTATGTGTGTGTACATGTATATATGAGTACATCTGGGTATTGTGTGCATGTGTGTGCACACATATGCATTTGTGTGCAACTCTTTGGAATGAACTGTGTGTGTATGTATGTATGTGTGTGTACAAGTATGTATGAGTACATCGGTGTATTATGTGTGTGTGTACATGCACACATGGAATCTGAAGCTCACTGACTTAGCCAGACTGGGTGGACACAAGCTTCTAACACTGTGATATCTCGCTTTTGATTTTGTTTTTATGGTTATGAGGATGATTTATGAATTGCATGTGGATATGAAGATGGTGTCCACCCATAAGTGTCTTCCACAGTGTGATGTTTCACATATTCTCTGGCATTTGGAGGCTTTTTAGCACCTGGGAGAAAGTCAACAACTTCCTACCACAGAGATATGAGAATTCTTGAATTCATCCACTGTTCTTTATCCCCATTGCCAAATTCCGTAGTTCAAACCACAGCTGTCCTGCAGCTGGAATACTTCCTGAGCCTTCTAGTACATTCTCTTTCACGCTTGCCCTCCTTGCTCAGTCCTTCTTCACACAGTAACCAGAGTGATCATGACTTAGACATCGCACCTTGTTTGCTGAATAAGACAAGCACAGTCTAAGCTACTCAAATGTATAAAAGAATATGCTATAAAGTTAGCTGCTATTCCCTCCTAGTCCCCGTGGTCTTCCTAGGATCAGCCTGCAAACACTGTTATGTAGGAGTCTATATATAGGTACATCTATAAGCATGGATGTCACCTCTTTTTTAAATGCAATATATATATTTAAATAATATATATATTTTAAATGCAATATATTGCATTTAAAAAGAGGTATACATATACTTCATACATACATATATATATACACACACACACATATGTGTGTGTGTGTGTGTGTGTGTACCATGGTGAATGTGTGGAGGTCAGAGGACAACTTCCAGGAGTCAGCTCTCTTCCCACCACATGAGCCCAGGGATTAAAACCTGGATCATCCAATCAGACTTGGTGGCGGGCCCCCTTATCTGCTGAGCAATTTTGCTGACCCTTAAAATACATTTATAACACATTTGCTTCTAGTACTGGAGATCCATGTGCTCTTTGCCTGGACTTCACTCTACACCTCAATTATACATACTATTTCTTGTTTTTTTTTTTTTCTTTTGGTCTTCTCCTGGAGCTATTTTGCAAACCCTTCTATAGTAGTCCACACAGCTATGTCTCAGAGTTTTCAACCACTGTAAGCAATCTAAAGAACCTAATGTTATTCACCCAGGTCACGTTAATGGAGACTGTTCCTAATCTATACAAGCAATGTGGTAGTGATTTTTAGTTACACTACTCACTTCTGCCTAAACCATAAGTGTCTTCCCCATTCTCAGAACAAAGCCCTAAGTCTGGCCAGGGCTGTAATGTCCTACATAGCCTAGTTCTTGCCTCTTTCTGAACTCACCCAAATCTCTCTCCACCCCACTCTGACAACAGCCTTCCTGCTCCCAAGCTGGCTGAAATTCTTCTGCTCCTGTGCTTTTGCATTCCTGCCTGGGGCACAATTCTCATAGCTCTCCTCGCCCTGACATTCTGAGGTCCTGGAGCCAAAGCCCCTCTGCAAAGGGCCTTAGGATGGCTGTCGCCCGAACTCTGCATCTCGCCTTCCTATTTGTGTCCCTGGCGACACCCACAGCACTCCGTTATCTTACTGACTTCTTCCCTTCTTTCTCTCTCAGCTGCTTCTTTTGAGCAGCCTCCCCCAGAACTCAATGCAAGGTCTTAGGCAAGATGGACAGGGCTTCATCGTATCTGTTGAATAAACTCTCAATAAAGAGAGGGTAGCCTGGCTGAAAGTTTACATAAAATATTAACTCAGACCTTCTACTTCCTAGGCCTGCCTGGGTACCCTTGGTAAGCCGGGAGGAGAATGACTTACAGGCCACTGTAAGTCATATCTGGAGCTCTGCAAAGCTTCTCTCTTTGCAACTGTCCCAAGTTGCTCTGCAGCTCGCCTCAGATGCCCTTTGGTACATTGACCAATTGCCAATGTCTTCTAAGTGCCAAAGACCCTAACCGGTGAAATGGCCTGGCCCATGGGTAATCACAGAAGGGCCTGCCCCTGCTCCAACAACAGGTACATTATTAAGATTTTCACGCAAGGCTCATTCTTCACCTCCTCTCTTCCGCTGGCTTACCCTCCACTATGGACGCTGGCTTACCCTCCACTATGGACGCTGGCTTACCCTGCACTAGGGACGCTGGCTTACCCTGCACTAGGGACGCTGGCTTACCCTGCACTAGGGACGCTGGCTTACCCTGCACTAGGGACGCTGGCTTACCCTCCACTATGGACACTGGTTTACCCTGCACTAGGGACGCTGGCTTACCCTGCACTAGGGACGCTGGCTTACCCTACACTATGGATGCTGGCTTACCCTACACTAAGGA